TTTCTTCTTTCAATGGCGTGTTGCCATTCTCACATAATTGCTCTAACAGACCTAGCAATTCATCCAGTTTTTCATGTACAACTTTTACGGCCTATTCTCTTGCACTCCACAGTGTTTCTGATTCACGCTTGACAAAGATCTTAAGCTCCTGCTGCAGTTCGTCCCATCGAGTTGTTGAATGAGCAAAGAAATTATAAATGGCTTCAATTATACCAAAAAAAGGCAATAACTGTTGTTTCCTGACTTGCAGAATGAAGACATGCTAAGTTCAAACTATGGTTGTCACAGTTTATAAACACTGCTTTTGAATTTTTGTTCAGAATTCTTTGTTGAACGCCTGACAGATGACCTGACATGACAGCAGCATTATCATAACATTGTGAACAAACAACAATCACTCAATAAAATTCCAATAAAATTCTAATTTTGTGCTTATTGTTTTCTCAATATTGGCAATGTCTTTTTCCTTTATCTGTATAAAGTCAATAAATGACTCTTTGACTTCTACTTTTCTTGTCTTAAAGTCAATGTCAACAAACCGAATCACTTGGGCCAATTGCTCACGATGGGCTAAATCAGGTGTGGAATCAAACAGAATACCATAGTATTTGTTTCTACGAACTGCTCACAAACAATAATTTCGCACATGTGAAGCCATGAGATTTATAAACTCATTTTGGATTTCAGGAGAAAGATAAGATGTTGACGTTTTCTTATTTTTAACATGCTCTATATGCTCTCTCATTACTGGATCATACTTTGCTAGTAACTGCAAAAGTGACAGGAAATTTCCAGGGCTTTCGTTTGAGGTTATGTCCTCAGTATGACCACGAAATGCAAGATTCTGAGAAGCTAAATATTGTGTACAATCCAGCAATCGTCGCAGTACATCTCTCCATTTATTTTTTTCTTGCTGAATTTGCCTTTGCAGCTCTTCATCAATGCCACTTTGAAACGATTTCGGCGCTCAGTTTATTTCCAAGCAGCAAATGACTCACGATGACTGTCACTATCTTCATGGGCATTTAACTTTTCAATCTTTTTCCACTTAGAGAATCCACCCTGTGTTTTGAAAGCAGACCGACTATCGGATGTCATACATGTAGATGAAAAAAGAAGACAACAAAAGCAGTATGCTGCTCTTTGTAGAGGTGAATACACCAACCAGGAACGATTGACCTATTATTCATTCAGAAGGCGTCGTTTGAACCAAAATGCAGTCATAGAACGCCATCTTTGGCATCAAATGGACCTTCTTTATGTTCAAATTCATGTGCTTCAGCTTTAACAATCTCTGTGCAATGTGCATGTGTTACAACTGATGAGCCTGTTGTATCAAACTTCACAAATACAATATCCGTGTGTGTTAAAATATTTATTAGGTCATCCTCTTTTAGCTTAGCAACAATATTCTGTGGATTTGTTTCTGAAAAAGTGAAATCCTCTTGTTTATTTTTATTTTAGCTTTCAAAAGGACAGATAACAGTTTCTTCATTGTTTTCTTTTTCAAATGAAATAGCATGTTAACAATCTTGCACTTTAACCTCTTTGCTGCCATCAAAAGGAACAGATGCTGGCTTACTGGTGCCATCACTTCCAGTAAGGAAAGCTCTCATCAATTTGCTTGACTCCACCATTGAAGCTGCAAATTGTGCACGTCTTTTGCGTCTCTGTGCCCCACTTTCTTTTTTCGTCGTAATGGGCTAAAAGAATAAATTAAAAAATACTGACCACACTATTTAGTTGCAACATGCAAATTGTGAGATGAAAGGAAGCATTCTACTTTCCTAAGTTCCTAACCACAAATTATATTTAAATTATACAATTATAGTTGCAACTCAGGACTAGTTAGGCACATCTGGACCTGGTTTCACTTAAACTGCCATTATTTAGACCACCCATACTCATGTTAATTAATGTGACACAACAGTAAGAAAATCAATCCAGATGAGTGTATATGCTAGTAAATCATGCTTATGAGCACCATATAAATTACTGGCAGTTGCTAAATCACATTTAAAAACTCAATAGGTTTAACTACACGAACACTACAGGAGACAAGTCTGAAATTGTTGAATGAAAATTACACACACTGTGGAGAAGGGTGTAATAATAACATAATATAAGCCTAGAGGCTCAAAGGCTATATTTAATATTAAATATTTTGATGGAATGAGAAACTTAAATATAGGCTAACTAATTAGTGGTGCTAGATTACAGTTCCTAGATTAAGTCGCTAGTATATCTAGATCTAACATTAATGTTAGACCTGTTATTTCCATCTTTTTAGTCTTAGGTTTGAATCTAGATGTAATAATAATGACAGAAATTTAGCTTTATACATCTAAATTAGACCTTAGATTTGGGTGCATAGATTGAAAGCACCTTGTATTGAATCTACTCAGATCTAGATATAACTCTGCTTCATGAATTCTAGATTCAGATCTAGTAGGCCTAACGTTTAGAACAAATGTTACATCTAGATCTATTAACTTAGTCATTAGATCTGTCCCAGTGCAATGCCTAGTTTAATAGTTAGTATAGGTCTAAGTATGCCTATAATATAGGCTACAGTTTGTATGATGATGTTCTTAGAGTCTAGAAATAAAGTCATAACTGCAATTAGACCTAAAGTCTAGTACATTAGTTGGTGTAAGTCATGATTTACAATCAGCCAATACAGTTACAAATCACTACATTAGGCCTATAATGTTTACTAGATCTAGATCTAGGCCATGCCTGTTGCATATATTGCCAATCTTGCACACTAGTTAATATGTTACATCAATCTCGTATTTTCTTTTTTGTTCAACA